GCTCAAAAACGGCTTCATCTCGACGCTTTTGGAGTTCCGTCATTCAAACGAATATCTCTCGGCTTAGTTGCTGTTGTTACTTATTGGATCATTCTGAAACATCTCATTCTAATCAGTGTTTGGTGATATGCTACAATTGGTGGTAATTTGGACTCTAGTGCAGGTATTAAATTTGATTACTATAATACATAATACAGTCATTTCATTATCAATCATTCTCACATTTTGCTACGATAGTTTTTGTAAAAAAATTACTCTGCCACATGAAACATTATCCAGTTATTCAAGTTTTACACTTCTCTTACCTAAAATTATGGCTTTTGAAATTAATCATAAACTTTTATTCGAAGTGTAACAATTAGCGATCCAGCTATTTAATATGATTTTGCCACCTGTTGTAAGATATCTCCCAATCTTTTTATAGGTTTTATGTTTTTTTTTTCATTTTTGCGCTCATTAATTTTTTTGTTGGCCAACAAGATTTCAGTTTTTCACGAAGTTATCAATTACTGGAAGGCTTAGATCTTTTATCACACCACGCAGAAAAAACCCTTACCTCAAATTTTTTGGGGGGTTCCTATTTAAGACTAAGGTCAGAATATTCTGGGCTACTTGCACAGTAACAGGCTTTTCTTGTTTAATTTGGTTTTTGCTGAGAATTCTGCTTTATTGCAAATTTTAAGCTTGATTTGCCTTCAATAACCCAAGTGCCCACTTCGTTCAAATAGTAAATATTGCTTTGTAGTTACTGCTTTCAAAAATGTGGTAATTGTTTTCAAAACAAATCTAGGTTTCAAAATTTTTTGTTGTAGTCCAAATTAACCGTCGGTTTTTTCATTGTGTTGAAATTGACCGGGGTCTTTTTTTGGTCTTATTATTTTTAAATGTCTTTGATTTTTGTCATTTTGTTGTGTCTGATGTCATCAATGACCGTTTTTCTCAAAAACTTAATTGTTTTGCAGAATTTTTTTGAATACTTGAAAACTCAGTTTGATCAGCCTAGAAAATGTCAGTGAAATTTGTGAAAAAGTTTGAAAAGCCGGCACTCAGACTTATCTGATTGTAACTTAATTGTAACTTTCGACGCATAGTTTTTCATATATAATCAGCTAATTTCGATTACCCGAGTACCTTTATCATCATGTTTCAATCTGTTGTTTATGTTAGTTTTAGTACAAAAAAATCTAATTCGATAGTTTATCAAAGAACACTTTCGAATCAATTTACGATGATGTAATTTCTGTTTGCGCTCTTTTTAAAGATCTTTCAACAGACGAGCACCTAAAACGAGTAACGATTTAATGCTCAGATGACATCTCAAAACAAGATTTTTTTGATCCAGCAAGATATTTCAGCCCCGTACTTTTTCAGTCCCGTAATTTGAGCAACCGCAGAGTTATCGTCCAAAGTGTGGAAAATTGTTTTTGTTCATATACGTGGTTGAAAACAAACTTTGAAAAGTTTGCAAAAAATTTGAATAGTTTGAAGTCAATTTCCGCTCTTTATTTTTATCGCTTTTTTTCTGGCTTTTTAAAAATAAACTCTATTATAAAAACTCCCCAATTGGTTGCAATAAGTGGTGCTCGAAAATCGGTCTAGGACAACAAGCCGGCGGGACTTCAAGCCAAAGGGACTTCAGGCCGAAATTAAACTTTACAAGCAAGCCCCTCAAATCAATATTTTTCCATCTGTAAAACGTTGTTTTTCAAAAACTGGGGCAAGTTAAGTCCATAATAAGCAATACTCATGACAAGGAATCACTTAGAATTGACATCCGTTAAAAATATCAGCCGGTTTTTGAAATACATAAATAATAAACAAAAAAATTGCCTTTAACTTTGCTTTAGTTTTTAACTTTTCTAAACATCTATTAGAGACTCAAATTTTATGGAAAAGCCAATAACTGGTAAAAAAAGATAATGAAATTGAAAAATTCTTCAAAACAAGTTCCCAAAATAATCATATTTCATGACTTACTGATAAAATTGTCGACTTAAAGTCCCTAAATTTACGATTCGGCTGGAAGTCCCGTCGACTTGATGTCCGGCATCCCTCGAAAACGGCTTCATCTCGAGGTTTTTGGAGTTCCTTCATTCAAATGAATATCTGAGGGCTGAGTTGTCATTGTAATTTATTGGATCATTCTGAAAAAAAAATTGTTTCAGGCATAGCTTTTCATATATTATCAGCTGATTTTGACTACCCGAATACCTTTATCATCATGTTTCAATCTGTTGTTTTTGCCAGTTTTTTAATGAAAAAATCTAATTCGATAGTTTATCAAAGAACAATTTCGAATCGAATTAAAATGATGTAATTTCTGTTTGCGCTGTTTATTATGATCTTTCAACGGACAAGCACCTCAAACGAGTAACAGTTCAATGTCCAGATGTTATCTCAAAACAGGATTTTTTTGATCCAGCAAGATATTTCAGCCCCGTAATTTGAGCAACTGCAGTGTTTGGTGATATGTTGCAATAGGTGATAATTTGAGTATAGTGCATGTGTATAATATATTATTATTTTTTTCAATCACTCATACATGCTACTAAAATAGTTTTTCCAAATACGTTAGATACATTACACTTTCAGATGAAATGTTATTCAAAAACTCAATATTTACCTTTTTCTGCCAAAAACTTTGCTTTGAAATTAATTATGATTTTTGTTCGAAATATAACAAGAAGCGATCCAGCTATTTATAATGAACTTGCTACCTGGAGTGCAGTCTGTTTTAAGACAACCGCGTATTCATACTCGCCAGTAAGCAGACAAATACTAAGTTAACCAATCAGAATCGAGATGAGAAAGCAAATTTACGAAACAAATAATTATGAATTTTTAATTTCTTCCATATCTCAATTCTGATTGGTTAATATAATTTGTCTGTTTTCTGACGAGTATGACCATGCGGTTGTCTTAAATATGCTACCTAGCCTTGCTGAATACCCGCACCCAGTTTCAACTGTTTTGCTGGATACCCGCACCCAGTTTCAAGCGTTAATAATCGATTTTAGTATGATTTAGTGCCAGTCTTACAAAAGCTGATTAAAAATTGATTTTTTTATGAATTAATAATCGATTATAATCTCTCTTTTTGAAATCAAATATAATCAATTATAATATATTATAATAGATTATTAACGATTATTACATTCAGGCGCTGTTTAATGTAATATGCGCAATTTTTATCCGAATTTCTAATTCACTTGTTTTGCAAAAAATCCATTATAATCAATTATAAGTATTTATAAAACTTTTTGTTTGCCCAATTTGTCTTCAACCTTGCGCAAGAATTGCTTATATTTTTTATATTTTATGCTTTTCGTAGACGGTGGTTTATGTGAAAAATGGGGAAACTGTTTTAACAGATTTCAAATCAATTCAAATTTAAAACGTTTTTATTTTTTCAATTCTTTTTGATTATAGTTTTTTCATGATTTACATTGTAAGTTTTTTGACCACCAGCACACTGTTTTGGTTTCATGATTTATATAGAAGAGTTAATTTCACCTACCGCGGGATTCTTTCAACTAATATGAAAACATCTCTGTGAAATTTTTGTTTCATGGTAAAACTTTGTGTTCAGATGAACCAAAGAAGGACAAGACATCTCACTTTTAGAGATTTTTGAAAGAAAAAAGGATTAAAATCTATTTTAGTATATTTTAAAAGATTATATAAGAGATTTTCGAAAATTTATTATCAATTTTAATTGATTATAATTATTGTAAAGTCACAAAAAAATGTTATCATCATAATGGATTATAAATCATTTAAACATCTAAAATTGGCGCATATAATTATTAATAATTTTTATAAAAGTTCAATTATAATTGTAATATGATCGATTATTTTTTCTTTTTACTGAGTACGGGTATGTTTTGATTGAGCCCAAGTGCCAGGTTAGTTCAATAATTGAAAAATGTTTTTGGAGCCTTTTTCATTTCAAAAACCAAGTGATTAATTTGAAAGCTAAATTATGCTTTTGAGTTAATTTTGATGTTTAAATTGTTCGCTTAGTTTTTGGTTCAAACTGCGAAGGGATAGCTAGAGGTTGAGTGATAAAACCCCTCCTTCCTAAGGTGTCTACCCCCTGACTGCCCAAGGATTCCTCTTTAGTATAAGCTTAAGAAATATGTTTTTGTTCGACTCTAAAATTTGACTGAAATCTCTTTTGCGGGCAAATTAATTTTTTACGAAAACAATTTTTTTTCAAAGATTTAGAGTATTTTTGTTGTTTTGGGAGAGCTCGGAAAACAAATTTGGTCGGCCGGAAAAGATAATACAATTTTTTAAATTTTTGGTTATTCTCCTTTCTCCCCATCCCATTAAAACCTGGACTCAACCCCTGAAAGTTCATATTTGTCTTCACAAATCATTTTCTGTCCTAGCTTGATTTTATCAGATGGTTCCTTTTTTCTATTTTCATTAATTTTTTTTAATATGTGGAACATTTTATTTGTCATGATATTTTGTTCTGGAAAAACTGCTTTTTTGTATCTACAACAATAAAAAGATAGTCAGTAAACAACCACGATATTAAGAGCAAAAGTCGGGCATAACTTTTGAAAACAAAAGTTGGGTTTCTAAACTAACATAAGGCGACGTTTCGTCAAAAAGCAATCTGAGTATTTCAAACTTTTCGAAAGATTTTTGGACTGTTTGGACTCAATTATAGCTCATTGGCAGGAAAATCGAAACCTCTGGTATCAAAGAGTTATTCAAAAATGTTGGCAAACATTTGCTACTTCTTACATTACTTTGGTATCGCAATTATGCAAAGTGCCTCTTGACAAATGTTTTCATTTTTTATTTTATCTAAAAAATGTTGTTGCTAATATTTTACTTTGTCTTGTTTATAGAATGAAGAGTGTCTGGAAGCTGCTGAACACTCTGGATTTTTGTCAAGTGGCGTTTGAAAGAAATGCTGTCAAGAAAGTAGTGGTTAACAGATGCCAAGAAGCCTCTCATCAGCTGTTTTTATTACAAATGAAAAATACTTAAAATACTTGAAATTTTTGCACCAAATGGGTTTCTTCAACTCAACAAAAATACTTCAACTTCACACATTGCAAGGATCAGTTTGGTTTCATTTTTTCAGCGTCCATTTTTCCACTGAATAATTGAAATACCAAGATAAAAATGGTTCGAAGTATCGTTTGTCTAATAATCGGTAAGGAACAGTAGATTTTAAATTAATGATTTTTTCATCCTCAAAATTGTCTTTTGTATTTGTAATTATCTATTATAACAAAATAAGAAAACATCAAACTGCGTTATAATCGAAACTTTATATCAAAAAAGTATGTTATCAAAAGTATATAACAGATACGTTTTCCTCTAGTAATATCTTTAATTTTATGCTTAGTTTTGGCGAGTGTTGCATCTGCAGACGAGAACGCGACTAACTTGGTTCCCTCGCCTCGACTCCTAGTCACCAATAAACGAGGAATTGAAAGAAACCTCAAAATGGAACGACTAATTCTGCCCAGCTCACAGCTCGAAAAAAGTGTGGTCCCAGTTGGATCAGAAGACAAGGACGAGGACGAGGACGAAACTTTTATAAGGCCACCGATTGAGAACGCATATGTCGCGTAGTTCCATTCCAATATACGCTCCGAAACCTTACATTAACATTCCGATACGTTTGAAAAGTAAAGCTGAAAAGATCTATCAATGTATTCTAAGTGAAGATCGCAAAAATCTCTGTGGGATGGAATGGGGGATGGTTTGATTTTATATCCTTGCTCGTTAAACTGTATGTTCCTCGATTGTATTCGCCGCCTGGGGTTGAGTTAATAATTAGATGGGAGTGGATAAATCAAAAACATGTATTTTTTTCAGATTTCGTTTTACATTTTTGTGTGAGTTGAAAACTGTAGCCGTTAAATCATTTTGCGACTCATCGAATTTCATAGTATTTGTGATTTCAATCTGATTAGCTACTAATCGTCTCAAAAGATATCTATTTATTGATTTCCCTAATATTTTCCCCAATTTATTAATAAGGGATGTTATCTTGATCCTTTGAACCAACAGTGGATGATTTAGGGGGCGGGGAGCCACGCCGATATTGATATTTATGGTTTCGTCTCTTTGATTACCCAAAGAAGCGCGATTTTTTTTCCATTTTTACTCGTTTTTGCTAACATTTGACTTTCTAAACATCTTGTTTGCCCTTTCTTCAAATTTTGAGCTTTGGCTGCAAGAGAAGTTGCAAAAATGCAACCTTGCTGAAAGATTTTTTTTCTAGTTAATAGTTTCTCCATTTCAAAACTTGGCTGCTGAATTAATCGAATGTCATTTGAATGTTATATTTTCAGAAACAGCTTTTTTGTTTGTTTTTCACAAATTTTCACAATTTCCTTTGGCTTGTTTGCCTCTTTCCTATTACCCACCCCACTTTTCACGTTATTGTTCCGTCTTTCGTAACGAAAAAAACGGAGTATTTGTGCTCGGGTGGGTTTTTCTTCTTCAGACCAGTTTCGACTTTTTAACTAGCAATGTTTGACGGAATTTTTTATATCATTCAAAAGCTATTGTTGTCCTGAGCTTAAAGTTGAAAAGATAATTCACCTGTGGTTGTTTTTCGTAAAATTATGGGGGTTTACAGATGGGGTCTAGGACAACAATCCGAGGGGACTTCAAGCCGAGGGGCCTTTAAGCCGAAATTTAAACATTACAAGCACCAAAAACGCTAAACTTTTATCATTAAAATGTTTATTTTGAAAAAAAAATAGGCAAGTTTAGTTCATCATAAGCGTTCTTCATGACAATGCACCACTTAAGAGTGGCATGAGATAGTTAGACCAGCCGGAATTTGAAATGCATAGATTATACTCATGAAAAACCAATTCAACCGTGTTTTAGTTTTTTTTAGGCCTAAATATCAATTAGAGGTTCAAAAAGTTTGAAAAAGCCAATAATTTGAAAAGAAAGCAAAACAGAAAGCTCATGAAATTTAGAAATTGTTCAAAAGAATGTTGAAAAAGACTAATTCGATACTTGAATTAAGAGAACAGATGAAGAGACAACTGATTAGGTGAAATCCGAAGGTGTCAAACAATCCGAAGGCCAATCACCAGCCAAGATGTCTGCTATTGAATGAAATTAAATGATTGACAAAAAGAACTATCAAGAACTAAATAAGCTTGGATAAGTGATTTAGCATTATGACATATCCTCTTGTAAAAATTAAATAAACTGCACTGGTAATGATTTGGATAAATTTAAGTACTCATCGAAAAGTTTTTAAACGCTAAGATTAGCTCGGTCCCGCCGATCCTAGTTGACGTAAAGCAATGAAATTAGGGCGCTAACTGAGTAACAAACTAAGTTTTTCGTTCATCTGCTTAAGTTTTTCGTTCATCTGCTTGAATACCGCCTCGTGATATGTGGTCAATCATGACCCCGCCCATTTTTGTGACTGCCGTTCTTTTTCTGCTCGATTTTCTCGATGCCGTGTCACTTTCCGAGTCTTGACTCGAATACGAGACTAGCTGTTGTTTTGCCGCTCGCTTTTTCCTTCCGCCCGCCGCAGGTCCTGTTCTCGGCGTCGCCTCCGGTATGTCCTCCTCTTCGCCGTTTCTTGCTTCCGTTCCCGTCTTTTTGATAGCTTTCCCGCCGCTTTTCCCCGTCGCCGACATGCTTGCCTCCTCGTTCTGCTCCCCCGCCGGTTGGTCCAGGGTCGCTTGCTCTGTCTCGGTTGGTTCTTCCTTCGCGCATAGTCTCAGTTTTCGCTCGGTTCTGCTTGTATTTCAGGTAACGGTGCAAATGGCAGTTTTCCGCTGATCCTCAGTGTAGCCAGCGGTTGGCTGTCGCTGTCTGACTTTGACTCCTGTAGTGCTTGGTCGCCTATAGTTATCGCTCCACCTCGTTTTGCTATGGTGCCCCATTTCTCCCGCTTTTTCGACTCCGCAATCGCTATTTTCTTGCGTAGGTCCGCTGGCGTGGGTGGCTTAGAGAGCCCAGACTTTCGCTTCTTCGGAGTAGTGGCCTTCCGAACGGCAACCCTGCATTTCCTAAGCAAGGTACCGTTATTCATTTTAAGTGTGTGCGTACTTTCCGCGACAATTTCGGTATTCAATTTCCTGTATCTGCTTAGATTCTGGTCCCCAGTGCGCTGAAACACTGTACGCGATTGGCCTTCTTCGTCGCCCCCGGTCCTTGAAAGGATGTAGCCGTTGGCTCATCTGCCTGACTTAGGGCTTGCTTTTGGGTTAGGGTCAGTGGGTGGTTTCGCCTTGCGTCCACCCCCGAACTCGTTGTCTGATCTTATGCCCCATGAGTGACCGCCGGCTTCGGGATTTTCTGGGCTTCGGCATCTTGTTCGTCTAAACATGCAGATTTAAATTTTAGAACATTCGACTACTTCAAGATTCTTAGAGATGGTTTTTTTGAGTTAGATTTCGAAGTACGGTATTGGCCTCCCTGCCGTGGTAGGCCTCGAATGGCGTTATGTTTAGTGTTGCGTTCGGTAAAAATCTTAATGCTCCCAGTGCTCGCTCCACCATTTTCTCCAATGGTTCCGAATTTTTTTCTCGGGCTTACGTTAAGATGGAGTTTTTCAAACTTACGGTAGCTCTTTCTACGCAACCGGTGGCTCGGTGATCATTTACCGGCGACTGCACAATTTCAATGCCTTCGGCATTACAGAACGTTTTGAAATTATTTCACATAAAAATCGTCCCTTGGTCAACATGTCTCCTCATTGGCACCCCATGCCATCTTTTTCGATTCCTGTAAGTAATTGATAGGCCCCCAATAATCTAGTTGAATCGCCTCATTCTGCTCTTTAGGTTCAGGTATCTTGCCTAGGTTTCCTTCAGAACACATAGGTTTTAAATACCTACCTGGCAATTTACGGCCATGTTAGCGTTAATTCTTTGAATATAAGGATACCAAATATCCTTTGCCGCCGCAAACAGGTTGCCTTTTCCGTGGTAACTATATTGTAACCGATTGTTTATAGCTATGTAATGAATTTGTAATAACTATTTTATCGTCCATCCAAAGGCAATTATCTTTAAGGTGAAAGTCATTTATAAATTGAGCGTAATATTGATCCATGGAATATATTTTTGATGCAGTATCCGGGTCTTTAGAATTTAACAAGTTGATAAATAGCTTCGATTTGGGGGTCTGAGGGGTATTGCGATTCAGTGAACCGTAGGTTAAACAACTCTGGTAATGCCGTAGCTTTTGAGAACTTTGCAATTTCGAGGAGTTACCGACATAACATTATTAGCTGGGTCAACGTTGGAAATGTTTCGCCGGGAAAGTTTGGTGGAATTGATAAAACAGTGTTTGAGTTTGTACCAATTGTTTTTGTTGTGCTGGCATTCAAGGTCCCTTCTCCTGTTAATTCCTCATCACCATCCTCACTGCTCGTAAAACTTGGGTGTCGTTGTAAAAATTTCTGAATCTGCCGCATTGATTTGTCCATGGATTTGTCCTTTGAATTAATTTTGCCTTGTTCTGTTCTACAAATAGATTTCGCCTGCCTCTTCGTATAAGTAGTAATAGCTCCAAATAATCTATTTTTAGACCCGGGTGACCGTCGGTATAACTTCTCACGGGACCGGTGGCGTATGCAAATTTCTGCATTTTTATTGGCTGTCTTGTTATAGCATGGTTTCTCGCCCTCTACCGTCGGCTTTTCTTTTCCAAATTTGCATATTCTATTGCCATTGGCTAATTTCCCGTTTGAAGCTTCATTATTTACACTTGTTGAGCAGTTTGTGAAATTAGTTTTATTTCCGAGGGCGCTTTGGATAGACCTAATTTTAGCGACAGTGAACATACTATCATACGTTGAAACTGGCTTAGCCTCGCTGTTCGGGTGTCTTGATAAATAGTCCGCTGAACCAAATTTCACCAATGGCATATGTTCTACCTCGAAGTCGAACCGTGTTAGTCGATCGAGCCATCTTGTTAGCCCGCTAAACATCGTCTTATTCTTCTTGCTATTGCCCTTCAAAAGTGAAACTAGCGCCTCATGATCCGTTACTACTTGGAATATATTCCGAAAATATCCCGCTCCCCACACAGTCGCAAGCATTTCTAGTTCGTTTTTTGAATAGAGTTTTTAGGCGTCGTTTGAATATCGCGATGCAAACGAAATTGGCCTCCAGTCTTCGGTATTTAGTTGTTCTAGTACTGCCCCCAATCCATTATGACTTGCGTCGCACCTTATCCTAATATCCTTATGCACATCAAAATGCCTAAGTTCAACTATGTTAGCTACCTGCCGTTTCAATTTTTCAAATGCGTCCTGGCACTCAGTTGTCCAGGTATACTCTTTTTTCCGGCTTAAAAGTGGTTTTGGCGGTGCTGATGATTCCGAATTAGTGGCGTTACTCCAGTGTGCGTGATCTTATGTCCAAGCCACTCGCTTTCTTATTGCGCGAAATTACATTTGTTAATTTCAACGACATATTTTCGTTATCTAACATTCTTAAAATTTTCTCCACAGTTGCTATTTGTTCGATTTCTGATGCTTCTGTAACGACTAAGATGTTGTCAATGAACGCATGTGCCTGCGGATATTCCGAAAAAAAGGAATTCGGCCGGCATCGTGGTTAGCCGTAAAACCCGGTTTTGAATCTATACGTTCCGGGTGAGTGTCCGCGAACCAGAGAAAAATTACAACGTACGCTAGTGTCTTGACTTAGTGGCAGTTGTCCGTATGCGTATGTGGGGTCCATGGTAGAAAAGTGTATTTCACCCGACTTCTTTTCACTTATTGTTTGACCGACGGCGTCCATTAGCTCTTCGATATTCGGCATTTGGTACCTTAACTTTACCGACCTGTCTTTCTTCACGGTGATTACAATAGGTGATACAAAGTATTTATCGGAACAGTCTTGCAGACGTTCTATGTGCCCCTATTTAGTTTATCGATTTCCCCGTCGACCTTATCTTGCAACGTTATTGGCACTCTTCGTCCTTTTTGTTGGATCGGAATCAAGTTTTCAAACAATTCGGCCTGCATTTTTTAGTTTTATCTTTCTTTAGTCATTATCTTTCCCACCCGTTTAAATAGGTTAGAAAATAGTACAGTGAAATAGTCCTGCCACTTCTTCAACTGACTTTCTCCCCGACAGTCTCCTGTATCGATATCACTTCTTGGCCCGGATTCCTCTGAACTAACTGCAATCCTAAGTGGGGCATCAGGTCTCTCCCGATGATAAATGGGTGAGTTCTTCCAATTACCTTGATCACTGCTGAAGTACGCCAACCAATCGATGCGAGCTCCACCTTCATCGTTCCCAGTAAGTTGATTGATTCCCATAGTCCCGAAATTCTTGGTCCTGCGGTTCGACCTCCTGCAATTTTTTTCCTGCGGCACCCAGCGCTCTTCAAAGTTCGTTAATGGTGAATATCGAAATCGGCGAGCAGCTGTCGATCCACACAATGGTTTTTCGTCCGTATATTGTGATGGGTAGTTTCGTCCCTCCGCTACTCGTAGTTCAGTATGATTTTTTATTCGCACAGCCATCACCATACAGTCCCCTCCCCCGTTGTATCGGAATCCCATGATCGGTTTCGCTTTTATGCGGTCGGATTTACCCATCCCACTGAGTTTTCGTGTTGCGATTATTCGTCTCCCGTTTCCTCCGACTCGAATCGTTCCTGGTTCGCTTGCCCCTAAATAACTTCGATAGACGAATTGCCCCCTGTGGTTTTTCTTGGCCCGGCAGGTCCGCTCGAAGTGCCCAATTTTCTGGCAGAAATTGCAGGTTACATTTCTAGCCGCGCATTCGTTCATGTCTTTTGTAGTGAATCCAGGTTTGTCACAATTGTAACACCTCCGGTCTCCGGTGACAATGCCCCGCGGTACAATCCACGGCCTTAAACTTGGTCACGTCCTGTGCCTCGATTATTTCGATAACCGCCCCAAATCGCGCCCACCGGCTCCGACTTGATACTAATTCCACAGCCTCCTGTACTACTCGACGCTGTGCCTCCGGTTGTAACACAGGATTTAGCGACTCTATCCCCTCGCTTGTTCGATAGAGCTATCCTGTATGCTTCTTCCGGAGTTTTGTGGTCCGACATAACTCAATTTGCGCCTCACGATTTGTCATAATGGCAAACACTCTTGACAAACAACAATATTGACAAACACATAACACTCTTGACTCCAGTGTCCCAAACGAACATCGCGCCGCCAATCCACTAAGAGCAGCATAGAATTGCTCCATTGGTTCTCCGATTCTCTGCTTTCTAGATAATAACTGGAACACCTCGTAGGTTTCCTTCCGCTCCTTTTAACTTCCCCTTTATAGCATCGAGCACCCTCGGGTAGCGTGCTTCTCCTAACTCCAAGTGTGGTCTTTGAGTTAGTACCAATCCTCTTGTCCCCTTTCGCCCAAGCAAAGAAAAAGGTTCGAGATTAGGGTTTGTTCCGTCGCTAATCTGTTTTTTCCGTCCACGTCTTCTGGTAAAGCCGCTATCTGCGTAGCGCTCAACGAGTCCGCGAAATAGTAGTTCTTCGGGTTTATAGAGTGTTTCGCGACCATTCTCCATTCGAAACGATTTAGCCAAAATCCCACAACATGGGGGGTACCGTATGTTTTGCCGACCAAAATTAAACGATTCCAAGTAGGTTTTTCCCCACTTTTGGGCTGCTGTCTGCGCCATGTTGAAATAGACTAATTCGAATTTTGAACTAAGAGAATAGATAAAGATATAACTGATTTAAGTAAGATCAAACGAGACAATGTTTTAGGTGAAATCCGAAGGTGTCAAACAATCCAAAGGCCAAACACCAGCCAAGATGTCTGCTTTTGAGTGAAATGAAATGATTGACAAAAGGAACCACTATGACAAGAATTTTCAAATTCATCTTATTTCAAGACTTTTTGACATAATAGTGGGTTTGAAGTCCCTAATTATACGATTCGGCTTGAAGTCCCGTCGGCTTAATGTTCAGCACCCTTTGAAGAGTGCCATTTTGGCCAACAAGGGGCGAATTTTATCACTTTGATTTTCATATGGCGTGTGGGGGATGATTTGACAAAAAAAAACTCAAATTAAAAAAAAAATCATTGTTTTTTTTACATTTAATTTTTTCATGTTATTACTGCTCCATAGACCTTAAAAGACAGTCGAAACATTTAGGGCTTTACCCTGATAAGAGCAGTCTTGTCTAACTTCGCAACAGTTTTACGTGTTATGGCTAAAGGCATGATGTTAACTCTTTTCAACTATGCCAAGTTTCATTGCATAATGACAAAATCAAAATAAATTTTCAAAATTGAAATTGAAAGGATGGCGAACGTGAAAAACAGCCAGCAGACTGTGTTTTGATCGCAGAGGATTTTCCAAGCATGTTACTCGGACTTATTGAAAAAGTGATGGAATGTTAAATTTTGGGTGTAAACTTTTGAACTGATCATTTTGTCAAAGCTTGACTATTTGGAATACGTCTTGCGCGATATAGTGCCTCTTCCATCACACGGGTTAAAACCAAAATATAAAACTCAAACCTCTAGACGTTTGACTGGATAATTTCTGTTTTTCTCTCTTGTTTTTTTTATTAAAAGTGCTGCGAAATGAAAATTGGAATGTAGTCTATTGTCCAGATGACAAAAAGCGAGACATTCTAATTCAAGGGCTCCATAAATTTTTGCTTGGTGTTTTTTTTTGAAATGTGCCTGGTGACAAAATACTACCCAAGCATAAATATTTTCAGTAGTTTATATAGCACCGTTGGTTCGATACCAAATAAGAACCAAAAGTGTTTCAGGCAGCAAAACTTGTAAATTTTATGCTTTCAAAACGCTCAAGCTTTCTTATATTCTCTTTTTTATGAATGCCTACGCGCTCATTATTGAAAATTACAATTGGTTTGATGGGTTAAATTCAAATTGTAGTTATTCTCAAATTTTCGAAATATTCGGTCAACTATTCCAAGATTGTGTCCGACTAAAAATAGTGGTATTTATTATGTACACTATGTGCAAATATCTGCCCTGGATCCGGCGGTTCCGTGGGACGAATGGATCATCGAAGTCTGGTTTCTTCCGGTGCATTGGCCATGATGACAAAGACAGCCTTCAGGAACAGAACCAACTGTAAATAAAACAACATTTTCCTCACATGTAAATATGTCAATTGTCAAATATGTCATATGTCATCTGTCATCTGTAAATATAATAGAGTATGATTTTTTGAAATTATCGAGAAAATATCATAAAAAAATCCTCTTAAGAATCATGAACCATCAAAGATAGAAGCTAGAACAATGTTTTTGTTTATATAAAAGTTTTAAATGGATCCAAACATGGCAATGGGAACTTTAAGAGCTTATTTTGTCCATAACACATTCTAAAGCTTTGACTAGTGTATTGATCATTCCGGGATTTGGAAGTGACTCTCTGACAGTGGGTTTATTTTCACTCAAATCAGGTCCATCAGATTGATATTGAGTGATCGGATCTGGTGAACAATCTCAGCCCTAACCAATTTAAGCAGACAGGAAATCGTTCACTTGGTTCTTTTTCAACGTCGTAACAAAACAACAATGACTAAGAACGGAACACCCTGTGCTATTTGCTCAACAGTCCCCATTTTTGACAAAAAAAAAGATAAAAAAGCACATTTACCAATTTGACGCATAGAACTGACGCGGTGGTTCCCATGAAGGTCATCTGGGAGTAGATGATGGACTTGAACTTGCGGTAGCATCCCTGCAGAACAAAACAGCAATCAAAGCACACTAAATTGGACCTCTTTAAACAACCCCTTTTTTGCTACCAGTAACACGTTTCCACCCCCTATACAAGATAAATTTAACGGCATACGCGTTCGCTAGTTGTAAAACTACTTACAAATTCCCCCTTGCAATATGTGCGGGACAGGTAAAGTGATCCAGGAATGTAGACTTTTTTCGGGATAACAATTATTTTAACAAAATCACTGAATCACTCCTCAATTTCAGCTGACATCAATACAACTGGCATGCTCAATTTCTTGAAAATTCAGATGCAGTTGAAATGCTCAATTTCATGAAAATTCAAAATTCAACTACCGGGGTTCCTGTTACTACAGGGTAGTTTCATGGGGGGGGGGCTTGAAAGTTTCAAAAACTTTTTTTATAAAACGTTTTGTTTTTGCCTCAAGTGGCGTCTGCTCAAAGATTTTTGCCCTTGTTTCCGCTTCGCAAGTTTTTTTTGTGCTAATTTGAATTTAAATTGTCTTGCTTGGCATGGTTGCCTAGAGTTTTCGCGTGATAAAATTTTTAAAATAGGTTTCATGATATATATGAAATTGGGTTTTTTATTTTACTTTTTTTTGAGACGCTTTAAAAAGTTTCTCAGAAAAGGGTCTCCACAGAAAAATTGCCTACACCTTTGTGTGCCTGCAACTACCCTGGTCTCTTTTTGCTTAATCCATCCTTTTGTCTACAGCATTCGAAAAAGTGTGTGGGGGGGGGGGGGGGGACAATTGACCGATATTTTGGACTTTTTTCGTTTTCTCAAAAACAACCAAACAAATCTGGGATTTTTGTCTCAATGAACTGTACGGATTCGATGAAATTCACCTCTACAAATGGCTACGCCCAAAGTTTTTATACATGAACTTTTGGCCCTCGGAACAATAAAAGTTTTGATTTTTTTAACCGTGTTTGAATCTTTTGGATTTTCTTTAGAAGTTAACCTCCCAAACCTGTGGTTGTGGGTTCAAGGGAGACAAGGGATAGTATGAATTTCTCCTGAAATAGCGGCAAATCCCAAACTTTTTAACACAAAAAGTTTTAATCCTCGAGAAAATGAGTTTAAGAACTTTTTGAGCGTTTTTGTTTCTAACTTTATGAACTTTACTGAAAAAGCACCCTATCATTACTGAGAGATTTTGGCTTCCGTCCACAAAACTGTGGGAAGCTCCTTTGAATAACGGACTACGCCCAACTTTTTTTGATACAAAAAATTAAGGCCCTCGCAAAAGCCCAAGTTTTGACTTTTTGGCAAAATTTTGAATTTTTTTTTTAATTTTCTCGAGAGCTAACCTGCAAAATCTAGGTGTATGGATTCAATCGAATTTCAAGGTTGGGTGAATTTTTTCCGCTTAAGCGGCTGCGACAAATTGTTTCAACTTTCTGATTTGTTGACCGTTTTTAAAAAATTTTCTCGATACCTATCAACTGCCTTAAAACAACTGAATGTCTTGAAACTTTGAACGTTTTTTGGGAGTTTTTATCACTTTACTCCAAAATCACCGTGCTAATTCTCACGTTGTTTAATCGAGGAACCCCATTTTGTGAATCTTCTCTACTTTAGGAGCCACGCCGTGCTTTTAGCAGAAGAAAAATTCTAAATTTTGTTTACAGGTTTTTGTTTTCACTACTCTATTAAAGCTGAGATTAAAAGTTTAATCGAAAGAAGCGGTTGTGCAATTTTTGCGGCAAAGCGGCTACTTCTTAATTTCTTGTAAGAGAAATGTTATGTCTTTGGCAAAGTTGTCGTAACGTTTTTAAACGCAGAGGCTTCCCTTTTTATATTTTGCGCACCAACTAAGAGCTTATTTTTGGTTTAAAAAAACCTGGGATGCTACCAAAAAAGAAAATTTTTTCCTGTTGACAGTTTGCCTGAGTTCAATCTTGTATTATTAGTCATCCTGATCTTTTTTGTTATAGTGTGAACGAAATGAATTATACTTACTCCAATAAAGAATGATTGTTATTGAGTTTGCTTAAAATCTCACTCCTAATTAATCCCCCCCCCCTAAATCCGGTACTGCTTATAGTATATATCAAATTTCAGCAATGCTGCTACTTACTGCTTAAAAATTGACATTTACTTTGCGGGGTAGAGTTGATTATTATTTGGTTTATTCATGTGCGTTTCAGGTTGGTGTGTCTGATTGACAGCCTACTTACGTCTGTATGTGAGGCGGGTGGGTTGGAGTTTGGGTTGTAGCGGTAGCAGTCCTCCACCTTGACTGGGTCGGGGGTGAATCTGCCCTTTCGAATGGTGTTCAGGCTGGGTCTCTTCTCACTCGTGTAGTAGTCACAGCACGAAGCAGGCCACCTCTTTCAAGAAAAACAACTTACCACTCAGAGAAAATCTATAATGATTGTGCTTGATATATTACGAGAAAACGTTTTTTCTTATTTCATCAAAAAGAGTCGCCCCTTAGTTAATGAGTCGCCATTTATGAAACTTATTTTAAGATTTTGTTAAAAAAGTCAAATAATTATATACCATATTTACCGAGAAATGTGACTCTAATTATTACCGGTGTCATTCAAATGACAAATATCCGGGACTTGAAAGAAAAATTGAACTTCAATGTCGCGAAAAACTTGAAAGAGTAACTCGGTGACTATAATCAACTTACCCTGGAGATGTTTCTGCCTTGACTGGGCATGTACATGATGTTGAGTTTGTTCTCGTAGTTCCAGGCCTGGAAGCGCCAGTCAGCCTCCTGGTCCAATCCGCAGCACCTGTACTGCAACGAAAGCAAAGACTTCGAAAAGGAGAGGTCAAAAAACAATTCCGAGCTAAGTGATCCTCAAAATTAGCAAAGTATTGGAGGCGGATGCGCTTTTTATAAGAGCGTGATGCGCTTTTTATTAGGAGGACGGAAAACATTGGAGCTGAATGCAAACGAAACTCATTTTGATTTTCCGAAATTGAAGCCGGATTCGATTTTTACAAAGTTTGCAATGCTAGGTCAAAACTAAAATAATACCAAACAGGAAGGCAGTTCGAAGGACGCCAACTTCCGAAGATTGAGAACTACTATGCAAGCAATCAGAAAAAATATATTTCAAGAAAAAAAGGTAAAAGAACGAAAATATTTCGACATAGTCATTTTCTTAAAAAACAGCAAATCTATACGTATAATAAAAGAAAGAAGTTTGTGTGTTTGTTTGTGTGTGTTAGCATGTGACGGGGGACTCCCCTTTGTATAATAATCGGACGATCGTGAAAACTTACACGTAGATGCATATGAAAAAGATTCGTAAATTTCGCCCAACTTCCTATAAAAAAAGGCAGAAAAGGGACGGAAAAATGAGTTCCGCAGCGTCTAGGTTTATTCGGCGAATCATTTCCAGTAGATGATAAGAATCGATTTCGTGCAATTTTTTTCTTTAATTTGATTCATTTTCAATGGTCTACTATAATCCATGTTACTAAAAGTTTCTGAAGCATGGAGAAACTGTTTAAATGTTGAACTTTGAATTATTAGCACTTTTTTGGAACACTTTGTGACTGTCAGACTTCTAAAGCCATCCAGCGTTTTTCCTGAACACAATCATTTGACTGACCATCATCTTTTTCCAACCCGAATTTACTCCTATAATTTTCACATGTAATGTATTCATCAATTTTTTGCTTCACTTCTTTCTCAGTTGAAAATCAAAAAACTCTTTTGCTCAGATACCAACCAAAAATAAAGACTATGCAACAGTAGTTGAATGATCACTTTTCTCTCGGGGCTCAAAAAAATTTAAAAATTTGACAAACATTTGGAAGTTTTATATATCAAACGCTCAGTTCAAATTTTAAAAAAATAATAAAATAAATAAACCGAGCGTTTGATTTAAATAATGTCCAAATTTTTCACAAATGTTTCAGAATTTTAGAAACACTTCATCTTTCTTAGTATTCTTAATCTTTTGTATTAAATTGTGGGCAGAACTGCTTGTTTTTCTCTTCTTAATCAACTGAACCATTTTCATTGACTTTTGTATAGTTTCAATGATTCGACGGGTAAAAAGTATCAAAAAACGACCGAAAATGGTGTAATTTCTTCGCAGTTCGTTAAAATAAACTTAATTTATGCAGTTTTTTTTTGAGATTGATGTTGATAAAACGGTTGATTTTGAACATTTGTATCTTTATTCACCAGCATTCTTTTACTATGAATTAAGGCTGATAATTGATGTAACCAATAATTTTCGAACTTTTGAATTTTGACTTTAAAATAGATGAAAAAAATCAAAATCTATTCTATAGAGCTATTTTTTGCCGTGCGTAATTTTGACTAATTTTTTGAATGCAAAAAGAAATTAAACGAAAAAATACAGCCTCAATTCCATATCAGCACTAGTCTAAAAAATTGCCAGATTTGAAATCTTTATAAGACTTAAGAATTGCGGAAGTGTTTAAAACCATCTTGTTAATATTAGAGCAAGAGTGTTTTTTCAAAAAAAAATTTAAGAGAAAATTAAGTTTTTTTGCTCTCTGCTATTGTCAAATAATCGATTAAACTGAACTGCAAAACGTCGTCTGAAATTTATCCGAAGCTTTCCGAAGAACAAAAAAGTTACAAGCAAAACAATGTAAAAAAATTTTTTTGATTATAAATTTTTTTTAAAAAAACCTAAATGTTTCAGCACTTCTGTTTTTTTTCAAAATTAGCTTTCACTACTTCGAAATGATCTTTCAAACTTTGTTGATTCAAGACTCAAAATGCATAAAACTGATTCGTTGCTTAAAACACGCTTCCTTCTTTGTTAAAACAACTTTTGAATAAGAATGCTTAAATGCCCTTGATTTCACTAGTATACATTGTCATAAAAAACAGGGAATTTTTAAAAATTGAAACCGCAAAACATTTGTCGAACAATTGAACATTTTATATATCGAACGTTCAGTTAAACCTTAAATAAAAAATTAAAAAATAAATAATTGAGCGTTTGATTTATAAAATTTTCAAAAGTTTCAGAGTTTTGTTTTCAGTTTTTTTAATAAGAAAGTAAAAAATGGAAAATTATAATTTTGTTCTTGATTAGAAAAATTGAAAAAATAATTTGTGACAAAGTTTCAAAAATTTGCAAAAAATACTATGCCATAGGGTATAGTTTAGCTATCGTAAAACGTAAAGCTCCATTAAAAGCTAAAATATAGGCAAAACCTCAGAAAAAAGTTTCGATCGACACATTGAGGATCAAGTTTTCCAAAATACATTTTCTTGCAAGATTTTTATCACACGGAATAAACTTCAACTCTTTAAATGAAGAAAATTTTACAATTTTTTCAAAAATTTTAGCGTAAATAACTTAAGAGAAGGCATATGAGTTAAGTAACCTCGTGATTCCTGTTTTTTTTTATAAACCTGTTATATATCAGCCCTTGCACGTGTAAGAAACTGCGTATTTCTTACAGCTTTCTAACAAAAGATGTAGATGGGAAAGTATTATTCCGGATTATGAGCACAGCTGCTCTCGTAAGTGAAAGAAAGTAAAATGGTATTATCTCCTCCGAGAGAAATTTCTCATTCTAATTTTTGAGTCAAACTTCTTTGCTTTCTTGCTATCTTGTAGTTCCAACTTTCGTAACGAAAGTAACGAAGTGTTTGTGTTCGAGGTGGGTTTTTTTTTCTTCAGACAAGTTTCGACTTTTTAACTAGCCATTTTTGACGGCTTTTTAAAAAACATTCAAAAAGTAGTGTTGTCCTAAGCTTAAATTTGAAAAATGATTTCACCTGTGATCTAGGTTTATTCGGCGAATCATTTCCAGTAGTTGTTAAGAATCGATTTCGTACATTTTTTGTCTCTAATTTGATTCATTTTCAATGGTCTACTATAATCAATGTTACTAAAAGTTTCTGAAGCATGGAACCTGTTTTAAATATTGAAATTTGAATTATTAGCACGTTTTTGAAACCCTTTGTGACTGTCAAACTTCTAACGCCATACAGTTTTTTTAATGAACACAATCATTTGATTGAGCAACATCTTTTTCCACCCCTAATTTACTCCTATAATTTTCACATGTAATGTATTCATCAAATTTTTGCTTCACTTCTTTTTCAGTTGAAAATCAAAAAACTATTTTGCTCAGATATCAACCAAAAATAAAGACTATGCAACAGTAGTTGAATGATCACTTTTCTCTCGGGGCTCAAAAAAATTTAAAAATTTGACAAACATTTGGAAGTTTTATATATCAAACGCTCAGTTCAAATTTTAAAAAAATAATAAAATAAATAAACCGAGCGTTTGATTTAAATAATGTCCAAATTTTTCACAAATGTTTCAGAATTTTAGAAACACTTCATCTTTCTTAGTATTCTTAATCTTTTGTATTAAATTGTGGGCAGAACTGCTTGTTTTTCTCTTCTTAATCAACTGAACCATTTTCATTGATTTTTGTATAGTTTCAATGATTCGACGGGTAAAAAGTATCAAAAAACGACCGAAAATGGTGTAATTTCTTCGCAGTTCGTTAAAATAAACTTAATTTATGCAGATTTTTTTTGAGATTGATGTTGATAAAACGGTTGATTTTGAACATTTGTATCTTTATTCACCAGCATTCTTTTACTATGAATTAAGGCTGATAATTGATGTAACCAATAATTTTCGAACTTTTGAATTTTGACTTTAAAATAGATGAAAAAAATCAAAATCTATTCTATAGAGCTATTTTTTGCCGTGCGTAATTTTGACTAATTTTTTGAATGCAAAAAGAAATTAAACGAAAAAATACAGCCTCAATTCCATACCAGCACTAGTCTAAAAAATTGCCAGATTTGAAATCTTTATAAGACCTAAGAATTGCGGAAGTGTTTAAAACCATCTTGTTAATATTAGAGCAAGAGTGTTTTTTCAAAAAAAAAATTTAAGAGAAAATTAGGTTTTTTTTGCTCTCTGCTATTATCAAATAATCGATTAAACTGAACTGCAAAACGTCGTCTGAAATTTATCCGAAGCTTTCCGAAGAACAAAAAAGTTACAAGCAAAACGATGTAAAAAAATTTTTTTGATTATAAATTTTTTTTTTAAAAACCTAAATGTTTCAGCACTTCTGTTTTTTTTCAAAATTAGCTTTCACTACTTCGAAATGATCTTTCAAACTTTGTTGATTCAAAACTCAAAATGCATAAAACTGATTCGTTGCTTAAAACACGCTTCCTTCTTTGTTAAAACAACTTTTGAATAAGAATGCTTAAATGCCCTTAATTTCACTAGTATACTTTGTCATAAAAAACAGGGAATTTTTAAAAATTGAAGCCGCAAAACATTTGTCGAACAATTGAACATTTTATATATCGAACGTTCAGTTAAACCTTAAATAAAAAATTAAAAAATAAATAATGGAGCGTTTGATTTATAAAACTTTCAAATGTTTCAGAGTTTTGTTTTCAGTTTTTTTAATAAGAAAGTAAAAAATGGAAAATTATAATTTTGTTCTTGATTAGAAAAATTGAAAAAATAATTTGTGACAAAGTTTACAAAAATTTGCAAAAAATACTATGCCATAGGGTATAGTTTAGCTATCGTAAAACGTAAAGCTCCATTAAAAGCTAAAATATAGGCAAAACCTCAGAAAAAAAGTTTCGATCGACACATTGAGGATCAAGTTTTCCAAAATACATTTTCTTGCAAGATTTTTATCACACCGAATAAACTTCAACTCTTTAAATGAAAAAAATTTTACAATTTTTTCAAAAATTTTAGCGTAAATAACTTAAGAGAAGGCATATGAGTTAAGTAACCTCGTGATTCCTGTTTTTTTTATAAACCTGTTATATATCAGCCCTTGCACGTGTTAGAAACTGCGTATTTCTTACAGCTTTCTAACAAAAGATGTAGATGGGAAAGTATTATTCCGGATTATGAGCACAGCTGCTCTCGTAAGTGAAAGAAAGTAAAATGGTATTATCTCCTCCGAGAGAAATTTCTCATTCTAATTTTTGAGTCAAACTTCTTTGCTTTCTTGCTATCTTGTAGTTCCAACTTTCGTAACGAAAGTAACGAAGTGTTTGTGTTCGAGGTGGGTTTTTTTTTCTTCAGACAAATTTCGACTTTTTAACTAGCCATTTTTGACGGCGGCTTTTTAAAAAACATTCAAAAAGTAGTGTTGTCCTAAGCCTAAATTTGAAAAATGATTTCACCTGTGATCATTTTTCGTAAAGTTATAGAGGTTTAAAGATAGTCATTTTGGCCAATTTGGGACAATTAACTTGCGATAAATTTCGCGCTATTAACGTAAGCGGAGATTTACTCCGTCTTAGAAATCTTTCTAAATTGAATGTAGGAACTTATTGCCATAATTGATTTGTTACTAGGAGTGAATTTATCACTTTGTACTTTATATGGTGTGATTCCCACAAAAAAATTTCAACTAAAAAAAATTCAATTCATTTTTTTACATTTATTTGTTTCATGCTATTACTGCTCTATAGACCTCAAAAGGCAGTCGAAATATTCAGGGCTTCGCCCTGATACGAGCAGTCTTGTTGTTGTTCAAGGATTCAATGCGATTTAGCTCAAAACAAAAAATTACGAATTCCCGGCCGGATGGAATTTTGTGGTCTGATTCTGTGCTTGCTTACTAGCGGAGGCTGGTAACATAATAAACAAATAAAAGTCATTTATAGAGTCGAAAATTTATCTCGGCGGAGAAAAAGTTTCGACTCTATAAGAATTTTATTTGTCTTTTGAGTTACCAGCCTCAGCTAGTAATCAAGCAAACAATCAGACCACAAAATTCCATCCGGCTGTGAAATCGAATTTATTTTTTTGAACTAAATCGTATCGAATCTTTCAACAACAACAACAACAACAACAAGATAGCAACGAAGTAGAGAAACTAGTTTGACTCAAAATTTAGAATTCTGAGATAAAATCAACGTACGTTACAGCTGATTACGTCAACAGCCGAACTGTTACTGCTTCGTTTACACGTCTTTCAAACATTTTGAGCAGTAATAACGAGGACTTCTCAAATAATCAACGAAGCTTCGAAAAGTGTAATAATGCTTTGAATAATACGGGATTCGAACCGGGGAGCTCTAAAATGTGCGGTGCGACCTCCACCCCTCTTATCTTCAGTTAGCTATCACAGCCTCTTAGAGTATACCCCAAATAAGAAATGCATTCATAAGAGAAAGTATAAATGGTCAAAAAAAAACATTACTAAACCGCTCGCCAAACTGTGTTTGAGTAAAATAATAAACTTGAACATAAAAATTGAACGCAAAAATGAGCAACTTAGATTTTGGACCAAAATTGAACTCGTATTATAAAAACAGGCGTTTGCTTGTGTAAAAAGCAAAACACAGAGTTGATTTGTACTAGACTGACATATATCTGCGCGTAGTTCCAGAACACGCTGTGTTTGTCTCTGGCCTGTTCGCCCTGGTAGTCGAAGAAGGACTCTTCCATCTGGTTGTAGAGGTTTTTGGTCATATGGCTCCTGTACCACATGGGCAAACCCACGAACAATGACACCCCCACAAAACTCAACGCCAACATCAGACAGTGCTGCAACACAACAATCTTACTCAGCGATATTAAGTACATTTGGGCACAACAGGGACGAATTGGGGGACGTTTTTCTGTTAGAGATTCGAACCCCCCCCCCCTCACCACCCAAAGGGCCGCTTTGGTACTATATTAAGATATAAAAACCTTCCAAAATTTCTCGTAATTGGCCTTTTGCCCTACTTTTTTTCAAAAAAATTGCCGACCGCGAAAATTCACCCCTGGGGAAGTCGTAGATTGCCGACCGCGCAAAATTCACCCCTGGGGAAAAATTGCCGACCGACCGCCCAAAATTCACCCCTGGGGAAAATTTCAATAACACGTTTTGTCTCTTTGAAATAATTTTTTCCATTATCACAGTTAGTATAGTAGAAAGTCGAGTTATTCTTTTTGAAAAAGTGCTTTTAAACTGATGATAGGGGGCAATTTTTCCAGCAAAAACGCACAAAGTTTTTCATTATCGTTATATGTTATATTCAATTGTCTCAAAATGAAAAACCAAGTTTATTGAATTGCAATACGTTTTGAAAACTAAGTGAGTGATCTGAATTTTACATTCCTAAAAAACATAGCAAAAAACTTTTCACAAAATAGCCTCACTTTGAAACCTTTTTCAGCTAGTAATTGATTGCTGGTATTTGACTCTCAGTCTTTTACACGTTCACAATTGTGAAAAGCCAAGTAGATCATGTTTCCTAAAGTCTGGCAGCTAAATATACTTTACGGGATTCGAAAGTATATTTCAAACTTTGTTGATTCAAGACTCAAAATGCATAAAACTGATTCGTTGCTTAAAACACGCTTCCTTCTTTGTTAAAACAACTTTTGAATAAGAATGCTTAAATGCCCTTAATTTCACTAGTATACTTTGTCATAAAAAACAGGGAATTTTTAAAAATTGAAGCCGCAAAACATTTGTCGAACAATTGAACATTTTATATATCGAACGTTCAGTTAAACCTTAAATAAAAAATTAAAAAATAAATAATTGAGCGTTTGATTTATAAAATTTTCAAATGTTTCAGAGTTTTGTTTTCAGTTTTTTTAATAAGAAAGTAAAAAAATGGAAAATTATAATTTTGTTCTTGATTAGAAAAATTGAAAAAATAATTTGTGACAAAGATTACAAAAATTTGCAAAAAATACTATGCCATAGGGTATAGTTTAGCTATCGTAAAACGTAAAGCTCCATTAAAAGCTAAAATATAGGCAAAACCTCAGAAAAAAGTTTCGATCGACACATTGAGGATCAAGTTTTCCAAAATACATTTTCTTGCAAGATTTTTATCACACCGAATAAACTTCAACTCTTTAAATGAAGAAAATTTTACAATTTTTTCAAAAATTTTAGCGTAAATAACTTAAGAGAAGGCATATGAGTTAAGTAACCTCGTGATTCCTGTTTTTTTTTATAAACCTGTTATATATCAGCCCTTGCACGTGTTAGAAACTGCGTATTTCTTACAGCTTTCTAACAAAAGATGTAGATGGGAAAGTATTATTCCGGATTATGAGCACAGCTGCTCTCGTAAGTGAAAGAAAGTAAAATGGTATTATCTCCTCCGAGAGAAAGTTTTCATTCTAATTTTTGAGTCAAACTTCTTTGCTTTCTTGCTATCTTGTAGTTCCAACTTTCGTAACGAAAGTAACGAAGTGTTTGTGTTCGAGGTGGGTTTTTTTTTCTTCAGACAAATTTCGACTTTTTAACTAGCCATTTTTGACGGCTTTTTAAAAAACATTCAAAAAGTAGTGTTGTCCTAAGCTTAAATTTGAAAAATGATTTCACCTGTGATCTAGGTTTATTCGGCGAATCATTTCCAGTAGATGTTAAGAATCGATTTCGTACATTTTTTGTCTCTAATTTGATTCATTTTCAATGGTCTACTATAATCAATGTTACTAAAAGTTTCTGAAGCATGGAACCTGTTTTAAATATTGAACTTTGAATTATTAGCACGTTTTTGAAACCCTTTGTGACTGTCAAACTTCTAACGCCATACAGTTTTTTTCCTGAACACAATCATTTGATTGAGCAACATCTTTTTCCACCCCTAATTTACTCCTATAATTTTCACATGTAATGTATTCATCAATTTTTTGCTTCACTCCTTTTTCAGTTGAAAATCAAAAAACTCTTTTGCTCAGATATCAACCAAAAATAAAGACTATGCAACAGTAGTTGAATGATCACTTTTCTCTCGGGGCTCAAAAAAATTTAAAAATTTGACAAACATTTGGAAGTTTTATATATCAAACGCTCAGTTCAAATTTTAAAAAAATAATAAAATAAATAAACCGAGCGTTTGATTTAAATAATGTCCAAATTTTTCACAAATGTTTCAGAATTTTAGAAACACTTCATCTTTCATAGTATTCTTAATCTTTTGTATTAAATTGTGGGCAGAACTGCTTGTTTTTCTCTTCTTAATCAACTGAACCATTTTCATTGATTTTTGTATAGTTTCAATGATTCGACGGGTAAAAAGTATCAAAAAACGACCGAAAATGTTGTAATTTTTTCGCAGTTCGTTAAAATAAACTTAAATTATGCAGTTTTTTTTTTGAGATTGATGTTGATAAAACGGTTGATTTTGAACATTTGTATCTTTATTCACCAGCATTCTTTTACTATGAATTAAGGCTGATAATTGATGTAACCAATAATTTTCGAACTTTTGAATTTTGACTTTAAAATAGATGAAAAAAATCAAAATCTGTTCTATAGAGCTATTTTTTGCCGTGCGTAATTTTGACTAATTTTTTGAATGCAAAAAGAAATTAAACGAAAAAATACAGCCTCAATTCCATACCAGCACTAGTCTAAAAAATTGCCAGATTTGAAATCTTTATAAGACCTAAGAATTGCGGAAGTGTTTAAAACCATCTTGTTAATATTAGAGCAAGAGTGTTTTTTCAAAAAAAAAATTTAAGAGAAAATTAGGTTTTTTTGCTCTCTGCTATTATCAAATAATCGATTAAACTGAACTGCAAAACGTCGTCTGAAATTTATCCGAAGCTTTCCGAAGAACAAAAAAGTTACAAGCAAAACGATGTAAAAAAATTTTTTTGATTATAAATTTTTTTTTTAAAAACCTAAATGTTTCAGCACTTCTGTTTTTTTTCAAAATTAGCTTTCACTACTTCGAAATGATCTTTCAAACTTTGTTGATTCAAAACTCAAAATGCATAAAACTGATTCGTTGCTTAAAACACGCTTCCTTCTTTGTTAAAACAACTTTTGAATAAGAATGCTTAAATGCCCTTAATTTCACTAGTATACTTTGTCATAAAAAACAGGGAATTTTTAAAAATTGAAGCCGCAAAACATTTGTCGAACAATTGAACATTTTATATATCGAACGTTCAGTTAAACCTTAAATAAAAAATTAAAAAATAAATAATTGAGCGTTTGATTTATAAAATTTTCAAATGTTTCAGAGTTTTGTTTTCAGTTTTTTTAATAAGAAAGTAAAAAAATGGAAAATTATAATTTTGTTCTTGATTAGAAAAATTGAAAAAATAATTTGTGACAAAGATTACAAAAATTGGCAAAAAATACTATGCCATAGGGTATAGTTTAGCTATCGTAAAACGTAAAGCTCCATTAAAAGCTAAAATATAGGCAAAACCTCAGAAAAAAGTTTCGATCGACACATTGAGGATCAAGTTTTCCAAAATACATTTTCTTGCAAGATTTTTATCACCCCGAATAAACTTCAACTCTTTAAATGAAGAAAATTTTACAATTTTTTCAAAAATTTTAGCGTAAATAACTTAAGAGAAGGCATATGAGTTAAGTAACCTCGTGATTCCTGTTTTTTTTTATAAACCTGTTATATATCAGCCCTTGCACGTGTTAGAAACTGCGTATTTCTTACAGCTTTCTAACAAAAGATGTAGATGGGAAAGTATTATTCCGGATTATGAGCACAGCTGCTCTCGTAAGTGAAAGAAAGTAAAATGGTATTATCTCCTCCGAGAGAAATTTCTCATTCTAATTTTTGAGTCAAACTTCTTTGCTTTCTTGCTATCTTGTAGTTCCAACTTTCGTAACGAAAGTAACGAAGTGTTTGTGTTCGAGGTGGGTTTTTTTTTCTTCAGACAAATTTCGACTTTTTAACTAGCCATTTTTGACGGCTTTTTAAAAAACATTCAAAAAGTAGTGTTGTCCTAAGCCTAAATTTGAAAAATGATTTCACCTGTGATCATTTTTCGTAAAGTTATAGAGGTTTAAAGATAGTCATTTTGGCCAATTTGGGACAATTAACTTGCGATAAATTTCGCGCTATTAACGTAAGCGGAGATTTACTCCGTCTTAGAAATCTTTCTAAATTGAATGTAGGAACTTATTGCCATAATTGATTTGTTACTAGGAGTGAATTTATCACTTTGTACTTTATATGGTGTGATTCCCACAAAAAAATTTCAATTCATTTTTTTACATTTATTTTTTTCATGCTATTACTGCTCTATAGACCTCAAAAGGCAGTCGAAATATTCAGGGCTTCGCCCTGATACGAGCAGTCTTGTTGTTGTTCAAGGATTCAATGCGATTTAGCTCAAAACAAAAAATTACGAATTCCCGGCCGGATGGAATTTTGTGGTCTGATTCTGTGCTTGCTTACTAGCGGAGGCTGGTAACATAATAAACAAATAAAAGTCATTTATAGAGTCGAAAATTTATCTCGGCGGAGAAAAAGTTTCGACTCTATAAGAATTTTATTTGTCTTTTGAGTTACCAGCCTCAGCTAGTAATCAAGCAAACAATCAGACCACAAAATTCCATCCGGCTGTGAAATCGAATTTATTTTTTTGAACTAAATCGTATCGAATCTTTCAACAACAACAACAACAACAACAACAACAACAAGATAGCAACGAAGTAGAGAAACTAGTTTGACTCAAAATTTAGAATTCTGAGATAAAATCAACGTACGTTACAGCTGTTTACGTCAGCAGCCGAACTGTTACTGCTTCGTTTACACGTCTTTCAAACATTTTGAGCAGTAATAACGAGGACTTCTCAAATAATCAACGAAGCTTCGAAAAGTGTAATAATGCTTTGAATAATACGGGATTCGAACCGCGGAGCTCTAAAATGTGCGGTGCGCCCTCCACCCCTCTTATCTTCAGTTAGCTATCACAGCCTCTTAGAGTATACCCCAAATAAGAAATGCATTCATAAGAGAAAGTATAAATGGTCAAAAAAAACATTACTAAACCGCTCGCCAAACTGTGTTTGAGTAAAATAATAAACTTGAACATAAAAATTGAACGCAAAAATGAGCAACTTAGATTTTGGACCAAAATTGAACTCGTATTATAAAAACAGGCGTTTGCTTGTGTAAAAAGCAATACACAGAGTTGATTTGTACGAGACTGACATATATCTGCGCGTAGTTCCAGAACACGCTGTGTTTGTCTCTGGCCTGTTCGCCCTGGTAGTCGAAGAAGGACTCTTCCATCTGGTTGTAGAGGTTTTTGGTCATATGGCTCCTGTACCACATGGGCAAACCCACGAACAATGACACCCCCACAAAACTCAACGCCAACATCAGACAGTGCTGCAACACAACAATCTTACTCAGCGATATTAAGTACATTTGGGCACAACAGGGACGAATTGGGGGACGTTTTTCTGTTAGAGATTCGAACCCCCCCCCCTCACCACCCAAAGGGCCGCTTTGGTACTATATTAAGATATAAAAACCTTCCAAAATTTCTCGTAATTGGCCTTTTGCCCTACTTTTTTTCAAAAAAATTGCCGACCGCGAAAATTCACCCCTGGGGAAGTCGTAGATTGCCGACCGCGCAAAATTCACCCCTGGGGAAAAATTGCCGACCGACCGCCCAAAATTCACCCCTGGGGAAAATTTCAATAACACGTTTTGTCTCTTTGAAATATTTTTTTCCATTATCACAGTTAGTATAGTAGAAAGTCGAGTTATTCTTTTTGAAAAAGTGCTTTTAAACTGATGATAGGGGGCAATTTTTCCAGCAAAAACGCACAAAGTTTTTCATTATCGTTATATGTTATATTCAATTGTCTCAAAATGAAAAACCAAGTTTATTGAATTGCAATACGTTTTGAAAACTAAGTGAGTGATCTGAATTTTACATTCCTAAAAAACATAGCAAAAAACTTTTCACAAAATAGCCTCACTTTGAAACCTTTTTCAGCTAGTAATTGATTGCTGGTATTTGACTCTCAGTCTTTTACACGTTCACGATTGTGAAAAGCCAAGTAGATCATGTTTCCTAAAGTCTGGCAGCTAAATATATATTGGGGCCAAGTTTTCTATTTTGGTCAATGGTTTTGAAAAAAAAAATAAGAGTAAAACTGCTCATTTTGACGTCTGAGACCAAGAAGACCATCTCACCCTAACTCAATTTAGGTAGGAAAACTTTTTAACATAGATGGTAAAGGCATTCGATTTCGGCCAATCAGAATTGTTTATTTTTAGTGGGGTGATAGTCCCACTTGGTTTTCCAGCGGGGTATTGAAATGTTTACCTGGGCCGACGTCTGAAATAATTGATTACTTACAGTTAATATATTTTAGTCAAAACTATGTCATAAAAACCAATTAATATTAAAAGCACGCGGGCTGAGGTGCTCGACTCATGATTCGACCGAAATGGTCGAACGATGTCCGTTTTTGACTTTTTCAGTCGAACGATGTCCGATTTTGACTTTGTTCGACTATATGGACATTTTTTGAGCGATTTATGATGCAAAATAATCATAATAAAAGCATAGTATACTGACTAGAGTGAGGACCATTCTGCGCTCCTTGATGAATCCCTTGATGCCGAGGAGGCCTGTGACGGAGAGGAAGACGCCGGTGACTATCATCCCGAAAGCGATCCAGTCCCAGACGCTGCTGCTGGGCACCACAGTCTTCAACACCCCCACCACGTCCTCACTCACAAGCCACACCCCCATCCCTGTCATAGCTCCCCCATACACCTAACACATCACATTATCATCACCACAGCAGAGGAGTTAGAGGGCTCTTTTCCATGCCCCCCCTGACTTTTTGTGAAATTACAGTCACGAAAGCTTATTTAAAAGGACTTTTGAGTTTCTAAGTTAAAATGAAACGTGGGGGTGGTTGGGGGTTGGGGAGGGGACAAGTAGAATGGGGAGAGGGATATTTTGCCCTATCCTAATTTTCTAATCAATTTTTATAGGTTTTCTAACACATTTTTACTAACGCTGTTTTCTAAAGGCTATTTCGAACTCTTTATAACGTAAACAATTCCCGGATCGTTGGATCTAGGAATGAGGAAATAGAAGGGATTCTGAGTTCCTCGTTATTTTTGAGATTCTGCACTTTTCAGGACGAAGATTCTGCACGTTTCAGGGACGAAGATATGCAGTTATGTTTGAGCTCCTTAAGAGGCGATTTAAAACGCCTTTTTTAATGGCAGCTAGACTAACAGTAGCTTAATATACCAATTTTGAGAAAAACTGAGATGGACTTACGGTGATGAGGAAGCTGACAAAGGCTCCCAGATATCCCACACATCTGCTGGTTCTTCCTTTGTACAATTTCAGTCTAAAACAGACCAGTTTAAAACCAACTTCAACATCAAATCAAGAACAACAATAGAATTAATAGAAAAAATCAACTCACTGGTTCCCCATGTTTAATCAACGCAGGTACAAACTGTATTTATTTTCTGTAACTCTAATTTAAGTGAGAGCTTTATCGCATATTGTGGTTTAGTTTAAAAACCAACTCGTACATAAAACAACTTCGTCATGAAAATCAACCAAAATTGGTTTGAACAGATTACTTCATATAATAGACCATTTTACAAACATAAGTCAAACGAAAAAGAGTAGAAAGAGAGTAAAATAATAAAACTATGTAATGCTTGTTTTGGCTTTTCAACGTCTATGCTTTTTTGAGCTTAAGAAGTAAAAACGTTTTCATCTCTATCGCCCACTTCAAACCCTCCCTCAAAAAATCAATTTTAATTTTTAAAAAAAGAAGGTTTCGCAAATGAAGATTTTTCCGACTTTTGAGGAAAAAGACGGAGTATTTGTGCTCGGGTGGTTTTATTTTCTCTAAGCTAATTTTGACTTTTTAACTTTTTAGCCATTTTTAGCCAAATTTTGTATATCAGCCATAAAATATTGTTGACCTGAGCTCAAATTTCTTCTCACTTTCTTCAAAAGTGGGAAAGTCATTTCTTTTCGAATTATTGCTACATTTATTTCCACTTTTGATATTGGTAAGCTTAATCTGTTTATTGGATAAGTTTAAAGCAAATTTCACATATAAGTTTACAAAAATTATTTTCCACGTATTTTCCACAATATCCCAGGGCGTAGCACATATAATCAAAAATAAACAGGAAGCCTTCAAAATTGATTCTCCTGGTTATCACTGGATGCGCGGGTACTGGAAAAAGTATGATACTGACGGCTAGGAGTTTCTTCAAGCATTAACAAACTAAAAACTTAAAACCGCTCTTCTGAATTTTTAAACAGCCGAACACAAAGATATATTTAAAAAGTGCAACCTAAGTATCATATACGTAGCCAAGATGAATTTACGTGAATTTATGAAAAAGTAGGGTTGGAGTTATCCATTGCACTAAACAGACCATAAATGCGACCATAAATGCGAAACTGATTTCTCTTGTGGAAGAAATAAAAAACAATCAAATTATGGCTTATCTTGATGACACACATGCATGCTCCGTTGACTTTTCTTCTGTGCAATGAGCTAATCTTGCTGTTGATTTCAGCCAGTGTCATTCACGGCGTGACCACAAAATAAGATTGCCGCTCTTAAACGGAGAGATAGGAGATCCTTCACTGACTCACTGTAAAAGTATTATGGTTTGTTTATTTAACCTCTGATCTTAACTTACCATCGACCTTTAAGTTGTTAATTTATATACCTGCCAAAAGCGCAACGGCTTTTGGTAGACTCTGAATTGGACACTATCTTTTATGATACGTAACAAATCAATCGCAACCAATTCAATCTTTTAAACCTCTCTTAACTTAGATAGAATCCCCGTCTTTTATTTAGTCTTAAATAAAAGCCTACAATTTTAGTAGGAATCTTAATCATCCACAGTCTTAATCTATTCTTAGTTTAAGTCACTCTTTTACACGAGTGGTATCCTAATTTTTTAACATGGCGCAGTCGAATGAATCAAACCTACGCGGACTAGAGTTTTTTTGGAACAACTCATCATACGAAAATCAACATGACTGGGAAAGGTGGGCGGAAAAATTCCAACTGACAATTATTGCGAAAGACTCCGTTGACATCGAAGATGTAATTAACCCACCGATAAGAGATGAACTAATCTACCCTATGGCAGAACCACTGGACCCATCCGAGGATCAGACCCGTCGGGCCGAAAAAGAGGAACGTCATAGAGTACAGTACAAAATTACAACGAAGAATTAAAAAGGAGAAGGGCGGAAGATAACGCAAAAATTAACGGACTTCAAATAGGAGATATTGACAAGAAGCTCAAATCACAGCTATACCTAGCACTCGGGAAAGAAGGACAGAAATGCTTTTCTCATAAAAATCCTGGAAAAAAAATTCTGGATATTAATTTCGCAGAATTTTGGGAACTATTAAAAACGACTTTCACGATCACTACAAACCTAACATACGAAAGATTTAAATTTTTTGGCCGAAGACAGAAAGAACATGAGTCCTTAGAAAAATTCCATGAAATTCTTTCAGAACTAGCAAAAAATTGTAAACTGGGGGAACTCGAGTCAGAACTAGTAAGAGACATTTTCATAACCAACATGAGAAATGTCGAGATCCAAAAGAAACTATGCATTGAATACTTGACCCCAGAAAACGTACTATCTTACGTATTAGTTCACGAAAAAGGTACTAAAATTCATCAACAGTATCTAAAATTTCCAACTTACAACCCAGGACCAAGATCACAATACGTGAAGAACGAACCAACATTAAACATAGTCGAAAATAACAAGTGCCGTAATTGCGGTCAGCAATTCAAAAAAGGACACCTATCCACATGCCCGGCTAGAGATAGAAACTGCAATACGTGCGGACGGAAAGGACATTTTGCTAAACACTGTAGGAGTTCAGCAAAAACTCAAACTAACATCGTCGATCAGAATCGGGTACCCCAAGAAAACGAAAATATCCGGGCCAACCCGCAGGAAAATCCCGAATTTGAGGTTAAGCTAGACGACTTCTTAGTTCTATCCATCGACACAGATAACCAAATAAATGCCGTAGAAGACAAAATAGAGCGCGGAGTGAGAACAGTATTCAATCACGAAGGATTAGAATTGAAAAAGACACTAAAAGTAGCTCTGGGAAAATTCAACCCCTACTATACCGAGATCCAAATTGACTCTGCAAGCCCAGTTTCCTTCATGAAAAAAGACCTACTACACGAACTGAAGATACGAGACAGATTTGTAAAGCTAGAACCTGTGGACGAGATAACAAAGAAAGCATACCAGGGTTTCGGGAGTACGATCAATATTATTGGAAAAGTTCGAGTGAAAATCCAATCGAAAGGATGGGAGGCTAATGATCAAAAACTTTTTATCACAGAAGGGGCTGAAAGAAATCTACTAGGAAATGACATCCTACCGAATTTGGGTATTGTAGTATTTCAAAAACAACCTCCACCCAACGGGTCAAAGTCACGGGAAAACCAGAAAGTACCACCCATCGGGACAAATGTCAATCAAATAAAATTCGCATCCGACATCCAACAGGATCAAAACCAAGAGACACCATCCCAACGTGAGTTTAAATTATACATATCAAAGCACTTTCCAGACCTTATAAAAAGAACTGGTAGATCAAAAAACTACGTAGTTAATACTTATTTTAACGAGCCGATAAAACCGATACAGGTGAAAGGGAAACGTATCCCAATCCATCTTCTCCCCAAAGTCAAACTATGCATCGACCAATTATTAAGTGACGGACACATTGAAAAACTATCTAGATGCTCTGAAGATTGTTTTATTTCCCCTATCGTGATTACAGCAAAAAGGGATGGATCAATAAAACTAGCGTTGAACTCAAAACTACTAAACAAACAAATATTTCGCAATAGATATCAAATGCCGAATCTATTCGAACTAATTGACAACGTTGCAGTCACTATTAGCGGCCACGATCAAAGAAACATCTGGTTTTCGTCGATAGATCTAAAATACGCCTACAGCCAAATTCCGCTTTCGAAAAAGGCAAGTAATCAGTGTAATTTTAACATTGTGGGGGGAGAAGTAACGGGTTCATATCGTTTTAAAACCGGATTCTATGGACTAGGCGATATGCCCAATGAATTTCAACGTATAATGGACCGTTTGACGGAAAAACTACCAAATACTCATTGTTATCTTGACGACATCCTAATCGCCACCGTAGGTAGCGAGGAAGAACATAAAAAGCTAGTCATTAATGTGTTAAAAACGCTAGATGACGAGGGACTAGCCATAAAATGGGAAAAATGCACGTTTTTAACTCATAACATAGAATGGTTGGGATTTAGAATCGACGCAAAAGGGACGACACCATTAATACATAAATCTGACGCAATCAGAAACCTAAAAGAACCAAACTGTATTAAAGACATCAGATCCTTAATGGGATCGATTAACCAATTTAATAAGTTCATACCAAACCTAGCGTCCTTATCAACACCCTTCAGAGAACTTATGCAAAAGAATAAACCATTTAAGTGGTCCACAGTACATACGGAAGCGTTTGAAAAAATCAAGAACGAAATTTGTAATACGGTGACGAACCACCATTTCGATGTAAAACTGAACACTCGGGTGAAATGCGATGCCTCACATTTAGGATTGGGCGCGTCAATCGAACAAGACCATTGGGGAAATTGGAAGACCGTAGCGTTCGCTAGCAGATTTTTGAATATCGCCGAATTAAAATACAGCACTAACGAACTCGAATTACTGGGATTAGTCTGGGCACTAGATCATTTCAAAAATTATCTACTGGGTAAACAATTCTCAATTTTAACAGATCACAAAGCCTTAATAGGAGCACTGAAAGACGATAAATACACTAAAACGGCCCAATCACGCCTCACCCGTTGGGCGGATAAACTATTACCGTTCGACTTTACCGTAGAACATTTACCCGGTAAAGATATGGGATTTGTCGATTATATATCCCGACACCCATCGGGTGAACCCGTACCAGTTTCTCTGGATGACGAGAAGTTTGTTATCGCTTCAGTAAACCAGATTAGTACACTCTTAGGCTTTGATCACCTTATGCCAAAAAAATTCGTGGGCGCAAATAAGAAATAAATTCTCTCAACATTTCTTAGCACATGACGTCACTTCTTGCAATGCGATTGGCCAGTCAACAGATCATATGACCAGTCAAGAAATAGAACGTGAGAAACGAATTGCTAATGCCGCTGAAACTTTCCAAGCGATATCTAACCATTCCAACATTTCAGTGTGTCAAAATTCTCACTCGCGTACAGAACTGTGTGACTCATCTTGCAAAACTAACGACTTTTTTACGAATTTTAAAATCCTGAAAGAAATGGCAGAACAAATTGAATTTAACCAACAAAAAGAACTTACTACTAAAGAAAACACGGACGTTTTAACACCAAATACTAGTAACCCGTCGGACAAACCCGAGAATAGATCACCTAGCAAAAAGAAAACAGTTAACTTATTCCCTTTCTCTTGGCCGGAAATATTTGACTCTAAATTTATGTCCCTCTTATCGAAACAAGATCTAAT